TTGTCTGTCCCTTGCTTCTTGCATCCGTGAGGGTCCTACAAAACACTCTTTTGAGAAGGCCACGTACTGCTTGTGCTCTTTGGCCGACGGGCCGGAATGTGTACGAGAAAGGGCTCTCTCTCTCTCCCTCCCTCCTTGTGAGCGAGGACCCTGCTGGGCCGGGGCTGGGCTGCGGCCTGCCCCCCGCACGTTTGATCCCTTCGGCGTACTCTCCCTATCAGTGCGCTGCGGGCCTGGCGGGCCTGGCCGTCCGGGCCGGGAGTGGAGGCGTGCGGCTCGGGCGGAGTGTATCGGCAGGAGCCCTGAGATAGTGCCCGGCCCGGTCCGACCAGCGCCACGCACTTCTTCCCCAGGGAGCGGCCGAAAGCGAAGCCCGAATCTGACAACCTGCTCGTCCAGAGGCCGCGCGCGCCCTTGTGTCCCCTTCCTTACGGCTGCTACAGCGTGAAGTAGCAGGAGTTCTTACGTTTCGTTTTGACGGTGCTGCTACTCCCTTACAGAGAATTATTGCAAGTCTGCAATGTATTTGCAAATGGGCTCGTTTTCTTAACATTGTCTCTGGAAACGAAGCAGGCATTGTTAACCCCTTGTGAACGATTATTGTGGCTGCTCTCTCTCCGCAATTGCGAAAACGTTTTTTCTTCCCGACTCAGTGTTTCGTAACAGCTCAAGTAGCTACAATAGTCCACATTGATCCGCCCGCCGCGCGGCCTGCCGTCTTGAGCGCAGAGGTGGCAGTGGTCAAAAGCCACAACTGAGCGCCCTGTGGCCCTGTGCTAAAGGGGGGCCAAAGGCGGGGGCACTTTGCTCTCCGGTGGAGACAGTATTGGAGACTGCTAAAAGAAAAATAGAAGCACGCATTGTAGAAGCAACAGTACTTTATTAAACCTCACATTTTATATCCAGATGTTGGACGGGGAAGGCAAAAAGAGCGGAAGTCAACCAGAAACAGGAGGTACGTGAATCCACCACCATTGGGAGTGGCCGTTGATGTGGTCCTGGGGTGAGGGGCATCGTCCGACGTCATGCGCGAACAAACCGATTCCGCGAAAAAATGGGGTTCTTGAGTCACTCGCGAAGAACGGTTGGATGTTGTCGTACTCGACCCAGCACGATGTAATTGCCCTCACCAGCTTTCGGTGGCATTGGGGCGCGCAAGGCACGCACTGCTGCATGTCATCGTCGCACGACATGGGGTCTTCCAGCTGCAGGTGGACAACGGGGTTCCGGGCGAGGAAGCCCATGGCGTCGGTGTGCAGCCACGCGTGGGCGCAGTCCCCCCCATAGGCCCAGTGCACCTCCAGCCTGCGCAGGGCCGGCGCGGTCACGGGGGTGATGCCCTGCAGAAGCTTGCTGTTCAGGGACTCGTCGCAGACGACCAGCTCGCGCAAGGCGGGCAGCCGGGGCAGCGCGAGCAGCAGCGGCCGCGTAGTCGAGGGTAGCTCGTCGAACAGGGACAGCGACTCCAGGCGGGACCGCCCGGACGAGGCCAGGGCCTCGACGGCCCAGACGCCGACGCTTTTGCGAACTGCCCCATTTGTTACATCAACCAGAGTCAACCTACGCAGCCGGTCGGCTCGTTGGAGCAACGCCACGACCTGCTCGTAAGAGTCGGCGGTGTGCACCAACAGGGTCAAGTCCGTGAGGGTCTCGCACGCCACCAGGTCCTCCAGCCCAGGCAGTGCGGCGCACCTCAGCCTCCGGAGGCGGGGCAGGCTGACCAACAGGCGAGCGGTGGTCGTGGAGAATGTCAGGCCCTGTACTAAGTTGCCAGAGGACGTGCAGAAGTTCACGCCAATGTCGACTTCCTCCAGGGTGGCGGCGTGCCCGGCCAACACGGCGTTCACGAGCGACTCCGAGCGGCGCACGAGCCAGCATCTAAACATCTTGAGAGACGATGGCTGAGACGCGTGAACAACGGGGAGCACGGTAGCGGGCACGCCAATGGTGAACTCTAGCCTCTCCAGGCTGGAGGACTGCACCAGGGTCCGCAGCAACACGTCGACAGCGCCAGCCCCACTCCCAACGTTGGTGGCTTCATCGTACTTCACCACCACGGCCCTCAGGCGGCCGAGCGCCTCCTGGTTCCGCACCACCAGGGTGAGCATCGAGACGTCAGCGTCTTGTCCGTCAAATTGTAGGAACAGGCAGTCAGCAGCGCAGGTGGTCTTGGCGTGCGGTAGCGCATTGCCCAGCCCGACGACAATCGTCCCTACGCGCGGCGCCAGGCGCAGCACGCCGGCGAGGCTCTGGTGGTTGCTCAGCCAGAGACTGTTGCCGAGCACCCGCCGGCGCCACACGTCCCAGTGCATGGCCAGGCTGCACAGCCGCTTGCACACGAGGCGGCACGTAAACAGGTCGTCCCAGGGCAGGCATTGCATCACGGCCACCAGGACGTCGTCGGGAAGCTGCTCCAAGGTCAGCGGCTCGGCGGACATGGTGTGGCGTGGTCGGCAACGCGGGCAGTGAGGCAACTGAGCGCTGGAAGCAGGTGCGCGGTGAGCGTTAACGCAGAACTGCAAGGCCTGGTGACCTAGTCTAGAAGTGAGAGACACTTGCGCCCGCCTTACCTCTGATGTGAAGGTGAAGGTGAGATGAGGTGGAGTGGTGTTGTCCGTTACCCACGACCTGCCCGAGCTGGGGCTGCTGTGAGACTGATGACCTCTGGTGCTGGTGGACCGTGACCGTGGAGGTGACTTGGGACCACTGGATCCACTGGACTGGGCCGCCCCAGACCGGGCGCCGAACGAGCCAGGAAAGACCAGGGCGGGGACACCCCGGGCCCCTCACCGCACGACCTCGTTCCTCTCCGAACCTGCTTGGCCTACAAGATGTAGGATCGACAGCAATGCCGTGTGCCGTGTTCCGGAAATACCAGCAAAGCGGGAAAAGTGCGGTGCTCTCAACCGTGTGTTAGAACCCTGAGAGGGCACCCTGAAGACTCACCTTCTGGGAGCGCTCCCGGAGCATAAGTAAGGGCTGCGGTACCGAGACAGGGAGTCAGGTTTGCGGCCGTTTTGTAGCATGATGTAGAGAGCAGCACCTTGGGATCTGTAAATGTTTGCCTCGTCGCTATCGGAAGCTTGTTTTCTTCTCCTCCAATGAGTCCGAGCCGAGAGCGAGGAAACGGAACTCCCGTTGGTTTTGGAAGTGTAAAATTCGTTCACTGGGATAAATGAGGCAAATAGAAAAAAGTTAAATACCAAGATAATAGAATGAAATGGCATATATTCATTGATTGACACGTTTAGCAAAATCAATTACATCATGTTTATTCATACTGGATGTTTTGCAATACGTAAATATAATAAATCAATGTTTTACATCGTTGATATGGACCCAATAGCGTCGTTCAATAGCAGCGTGGACTTCTGGTGAGGGACACTCGTCTTTGGGGTGCGCGAAAACTCCTACCAATGCCATTTCCTTCAAATCTTTGTGACAGCTTAGCTCGCACACGTTGCAAGTGCCTTGGTAAGGGTAGCAGCGGCAAGGCAGATATTGTAGCT